GTCATTTGCAAAAGATAATACAGTACTATAGTTTGCATTCTTGACTATGATATGAGAATTGGAATAAGTACCAGAGCAAGTAGAGCCTTACTGAACTGAGATTTTCACAGTTGAAGATTTAGTTTTTACTTTGTTGACTATTATAATTTGGGATCTGTTCATTAGGAAGTTAATGATCCACTTCCATACTTTGCCAGTACAGTAACTTTTTTTTTTTTTTGCTCATTTTATGTGCAATAACACCATGGTCACAATTATTGAAAGGTTTGCAAAATCTGTGAAGTGAAGACAACAGCATTTTGCTTGTATTCCATACCACCTAAGGCCATATAGTGGTCAACCAATTGCGAGAGGCAGGAGCACCCTGTTCTGAACCTATGTTACGCAGGGTTATGAAGACACTATGATTCCATGTGTTTTGTGCTCTTGCTTCTTAGAAATCTTTCAAAGATTTTTGAGATGTGTGATGTTAGAGCAACCTGCTTAATGGGGGTTCCGAAAGTTCTTTTACTCCCCAAGCCTGGCCTGAGAACAGGCTTGACTTGTGAGAGTTTGGTCCAACAGGCTGTTGCTTGCAGCGGCCCACAGGCCCACATATCCACCACAGCCCGGTTGGTCCGGCACTGCTTGAAAAAAAACGACCTGTATCTAGTTTTCTCTTGAAGATGTCCACGGTTGTTCCGGTAATATTTCTTATACTCGCTGGGACAATATTGAACAACTGCGGACCTCTGATGTTTATACAGTGTTCTCTGATTGTTCCTATGGCACTTCTGCTCTTCACTGGTTCTGGTTCAACAAAGAGATTAGTGAAATTCTAAGAAGCCAGTATGAGGCTATGTTTAGCACACCAATAAACAACATGAAAGTTGATGACCCAGACAGCTTCTTTATGAATGACATTCAAGCTGCAGATAATATAACGGATATTACCACAAACTCGGAAGACTTTGAAAGAGAAATTGACAATATGCCTATGCACTCAGCCCCTGGGCCTGACTCATGGAATTCAATATTCATAAAGAAATGTAAAGTACCAGTAGCGAGAGCACTCAGCGTAATATGGAGAAAGAGCCTGGATACAGGGGAGATACCCGCAGCACTTAAATCTGCAGATATAGCTCCGTTGCACAACGGGGGGGAGTAAAGCCTTGGCAAAAAATTATAGGCCAGTTGCACTATCACACATAATAAAAGTGTTTGAAAGAGTAATTAGGAATCAAATTTCTAGTTTTATGGAAAACAATGAATTGCACAATCCAGGACAACATGGATTTAGAGCGGGAAGATCATGTCTGTCACAGTTACTCAACCACTATGACAAAATCACAGAAGCCCTGGAAGAAAAGCAAAATGCAATGTTGTATACACAGACTTTGCAAAGGTGTTCGACAAATGTGACCATGGGGTGATAGCTTACAAAATGAGGTCAATGGGAATAACTGGAAAAGTAGGACGCTGGATACTCAATTTCCTGTCGAACAGAACACAAAGAGTAACAGTCAATCAGATAAAATCGAGTCCAAGCGATGTTAAAAGCTCTGTACCTCAAGGTACAGTCCTTGCACCGCTACTGTTCCTTATTCTCATATCTGATATTGACAAAAATACACGTCACAGCTTCGTGTCGTCCTTTGCAGACGACACAAAAATCACAATGAAAATTACCTCTGCTGAAGACATTGAAAAACTACAAGCAGATGTCAACAAAGTTTTCGATTGGGCAACAGAAAATAACATGATGTTTAGCAGTGATAAATTTCAGGTACTCAAGTACAGCAAAAATGAGGATCTGAAACATAATACAGGGTACAAAACACAATCGAATCTTCCCATAGTAGAAAAACATCATGTCAAGGATTAGGGAATAATGATGGCTGACGATCTAACATTTAGGGAGCATAACCAAGCAAATATCGCGTCAGCCAGAAAAATGATCGGATGGATTACGAGAACTTTCAAATCCAGGGATCCCATCACAATGGTTGTACTCTTCAAGTCACTTGTGTTGTCCCGTCTTGAGTAATGCTCAGTACTCATTTCCCCCTTTAGAGCAGGAGAGATTGCTGAAATAGAGGGAATACAGAGAACATATACGGCACGCATAGACGAGATAAAACACCTAAATTATTGGGATCGTCTCAAAGCTCTCCAAATGTATTCTCTAGAAAGGAGACGAGAGAGATACCAAATAATATACACATGGAAAATACTGGAGGGTCAGGTCCCAAATCTACACAGTAAAATAACAACGTACTGGAGTGAACGATATGGAAGAAAATGCAAGATTGAACCAGTGAAGAGCAGAGGTGCCATAGGCACAATCAGAGCACTGAATAAACATCAGGGGTCCGCGGTTGTTCAACGTCCTCCCAGCGACTATAAGAAATATTGCCGGAACAACCGTGGACATCTTCAAGAGAAAACTGGACGGTTTTCTAAAAGAAGTTCCGGATCAGCCGGGTTGTGGTGGGTACGTGGCCCGGCGGGCCGCTTCAAGCAACAGCCTGGTGGACCAAACTCTCACAAGTCAAGCCTGGCCTCGGGCCGGGCTTGGGGAGTAGAACAACTCCCAGAACCCCATCAACCAGGTATCAACCAGGTGTTTTGCATTTTCTTCCATATTGGTCTAAAAAATTCTGCATCCACTTTACTGCATCCTTTGTTAAGTGGTGTGTCTTCACTGTTTTAAGTATGTTGTGGCCATACTTAAAATAGTGTAAAATACAAACTATTCACACATTATCAAAATCTTTGAAAGTGTGCTAAGAAGTAAGATTACAAATCACATGGAATCACATCTACATAACCCCAGGCAACACGGGTTCAGAACAGGGCACTCCTGCCTCTCACACTTGGTAATTCACTATGACATGGTCTTAGGTGCTATGGAAGACAAGCAAAATGCAGATGTAATATACAAAGATTTTGCAAAAGCTTTTGAAAAATAGGACCATGGTGTTATTGCACAGAAAATGTGCTCAAAAGGAATTACTGGCAAAGTAGGGAGATGGATCTTTACTTCCTATCAAATAGAACCCAGAGTGTAATAGTCAACAAAGTAAAATCCGGAATCATATACCGTGAAGAGCTTACCCCCCCTTCCCCGGCCAAGGTATTATACTTCCTCTGGTACTTTTTCTCATCCTCATATCATACATAGACAAGGATACAAACTAAAAACTGTATCATCCTTTGGATATGACACTAGGATTTTCATGTAGGTAGATAATACAGAGGACACGGCAAACCTCCAATTTGATGCAAGTCGGGTCTTTCAATAGGCCACAAATAACAATATAATGTTTAATGAAAATATATTCCAGCACCTACGCTATGGAAAAAACAAAAATAGTGTATAAAACGGAATCAAATTACACTATAGAATGAAAAAGTAATGTAAAGGATCCAGGAATAATCATGGTGGAATACCATACCTTTTAATGAATACAATAAAAAAGCCGTCACAACTGCCAGAAAAATAACAGGTTGGATTACAAGGGATGTGATACCAATGATGATTGATACTTTTCAAGACACTAGTGCTGTCTAGGGTGGAACATTGTTGCACATGAACAGCCCCATTCAGAGCTTGAGAAATTGCTGACCTAGAAAGGGTGCAAAGATCCTTTACCAATAGAATCTACTCAATAAAGTCATCTAAATTATTGGGACTGATTAAAGGTTCTAACTCTGTATTCTCTAGAGCCCAGGCGAGAGATGCATAATAATCTACATGTGGAAAATATTAGAAGGCATGGCAGGATGTGCAAAATAGGCCCACTGAAAAGCAGAGGTGCAATAGGTATGCTGAGGGAGAACTCTATCAAGATCAAGAGCATAAGACTGTTCAACACTCTCATGGTACACACACAATGGGCATAACTGGCGGCCTCTCACAGTGTTCAAAAGAGAATTCGACAAACATCTCCAAACAATACCTGATCAACCTGGCTGTGATTCATACGTGAGGCTGCGAGCAGCTGCATCCAACTGCCTGGTTGACCATTTGACCAACCAGGAGACCTGGTCAGAGACCAGGCCATGGGGCATTTGGTACCTCAGAGCCTCCACCAGGTAGACACAAAATAGGCTTCATCTCCAAAAGATGTTTAGGGCCTGTGATAGTGTTTTGCAATTTTTTATAAATATGGAATTCCAGAAGTTTGGGCCTGGGGCAGAGTGCATGGGCATGCTGTCTATGGCTACTTCAAAGTCCAGTGGAGATAGCGTGACATCTGATATCATGTTTGATGTTGGTGTCACATTCATAAAGAATTCATTTAGATAATTGATTTTCAATGTGTTCAGAGGTTAACTGAAAGCTAAATCGTATTGTAATCTTCCATTAATCTGACAAAGCAAAGTGGAAGAGCTGTCACCCTCCCAGCATGGTTGTGATTCTTCAAGTTATGTTTAAATGTTTGCTATATCCTAAGCATTGTGTTGCAGATATATCTGCATAATGTCAGGCCCACTGACATTAATTTCAGTGGGCCCGACAGCTGAGTGGACAGCGCTTCCGATTTGTAGTCCTGAGGTTCCGGGTTCGATCCCCGGTGGAGGCGGAGACAAATGGGTAGTTTCTTTCACTATGATGCCCCTGTTACCTAGCAGTAAATAGATACCTAGGAGTTAGACAGCTGCTATGGGCGGCTTCCTGGGGGGTGAGTAACAAAGAGGAGGTCTGGTCGAGGACCGGGCCGTGGGCACGCTAAGCCCCGAAATCATCTCAAGATACATGTTGACTTGTCTCTCATATATGTGAGGCAGTTGTCACCTATATGCACCGGGAACAAAAATTTGTGTCAAGAATTAGGATTACCTTCAATACAAATGAGAAAGTAGAAGGGAAGAAATATGAAATGTAAATGGTGAAGATCCTGTTAGATAATGGGACCAATTCTAGTACAGTGCTGTACTGGTATATTTTAAGAATAATGTGTTGGGAGAGGAAATTGTCAGAACAGTGAGAAGCCAAAGGAAAATGACCATCAAAGGAACAAAATAATACATTTATTTCCCTATGAGACTGCTGCCTTTATATATCTAGATGAAATTTGTCTTAATTATGAGACAAAATATATGCAAGATAATAAAATACATTAACAAATCCTCATTAGAATAAGTCAGTTTACATCAAATATGAGGTTTTATATATATATATATAAAACTATAAGTCACTATAAATATTTGATGAAGAAACATTCATCTTTTTCCATTGCCTCGGGTATTGTTAACCGAACCCGATATAAAATGTATACTTCTTGGCAATACAGGTATATTGGAATTATTTTTCTTATTAGCAGTTTTATTAAGCAACTTGGATTTTTTGTCATTAGTTAATTGAATATTGCAATTTTTTAGCTCCAAGCCCGTTTCATTCCACATTATAATCTTGTCACTCTGGAAATTTGTCGTTTTGTAATCCTTATTAGAAACTTTACAAATCTCTGCAGAGTATTCTCGATTTTTTACTGCTTGGCTATTTTTGGGCTTTGTACTTGCTTGAATATACAGCCTCTTGTACGTATTTTTCTCTTTCTCCTCCATTTGTCGTCTGCGTTTCCCATCTTCACTGCGGTTTCTATCCCGCTTCTCTTTAACACGGTTAGCAGCCAAAGTACCTGTAGGAAAAACATGATACAGTGTTACTCTTGCAGTACCACTTCCTAAAAAAATACTAAATACTAAATAAAAAAGCAGCATTGAATGTAATGAAATGCAAATTTCTTGGTGAGCCCCAGAGGCTCTCTGAAGCATTTACACTGATCCAGAGCCATACTACTAGGTGCCATCAGTTGCAGAGTTCTTATTGGCCTACCAGGGACCATGAGCTAGAACTTGGCCCCTTCAGAGAGGCAAAGAGAGCGGTGGCACTATGAAAACTTTTGCTTAAAGTTACTCATGTCTGAAACCAATATGGAAAGCACCCAGAAAGTCTGTGCCACAACACAAACCACTGTATAGTTAGAAAAAAAAAGCTGATGACCTGAAAAATATGAACCTAGGAGCAGGGAACCAGGGAAACCAGATCAATCCGCAAGTCCACCGAAGCAGTACCGGGTGCACAAAGATAGTATCATAAAAGCCCCCCCGGACAAAGTGTATGACGCACTTTGTCTAGTGCACTAGGCCTGGCCGAAACAACAACAAATTTACGACCAAAGAACTCCTCCGGAAGTCAGCCGACTCATACCTCGCCAGAAAAGAAGGAGCCAGCTGCAGTCGAACAAACTGCCCACCAGGGCCAAAGGCACAAGATCCCCGGCGCCAAAGACGAGCATGAAGCTCACCCACCCGGCAACCGGAGGCCTGAGAACCAAAAAAACAGCATTGTATGTAATGAAATGCCATTTTCTAGGCGAGACCCGGAGGCTCCTCGGAGACATCAAGGCTGATATGTATATCATTAGACTTTGACATTAATCAGCGTGAATGGTGTTCTAGGCCTACCAGGAACTGCGAGCCAGAACCTGGCCCCCCCCCCTTCCTCAGAGAGGTACAAGGAGCAATGGCCTATAGAAATGCACATGGAAACTGGAGCATTCTATGTCTGCCATCGACTGGGCCAGGCACCCAAAAAGGTAAGCACCTCAAAACAAACCCCCTATTCTGGTTAAAATGACTAAAACTAACAAGTGGACAGAACTCCACAAATGAAAACGAGCATGACGTGACAGGCCACATGTTTACACAGCTCTTCCCTCCCTGGGAGGGGAAAGGGAGAGCCCCAGACCCACCATGCCGGAGATACACCCTTCAGTTCGAGGCTGGATGTCAAAACACGCAAAAAACCTGCTGACCGAGGGGAGGGGGAGGTTGTTGTGGAGCCTTCGAGTCTCATCTACAAAATGGCATTTTGTTACATTCAAAGCTGATTTTCGGGGGGGGGGGGGGGGGCTTTCGGCTCCCCGGAGCTACCTACCCAAAGCCAAGGAGAAAAGAGGGACAAACCCAGGAGGCAGAAACCACACGCCGAAAACACAAAAGCCAGACAACAGGCAATACCGAAAGGACACCGTGGACAACCTGGGAGACTCAAACCCCAGAACAGACAAAGGGAACCCCGGGCAACCCAAAGTGGGTCTAGGGCCACAGAGGCCATGGCACACAGGCATTGGCTGAGAGCCACAACTGGACACAAGAAGATGCACCCCCAGCCATGGCACGCAGGCAATGGCTGAGAGACACAACTGGACACAAGAAGATGCACTCCCGGCCACGGCACGCAGGCAACGGCTAAGAGCCACAACTGGACACAAGAAGATGCACCACTGGTCAAAGCCAACCAAGCAACAACCCCAGGAACCCTCTGATGACCCGACAGAGCACAGAAGAGGCCTGCCCTGTCAGCCCCGAACCCCCCAAAGGAGGAGGCGCCACCCAACGCCACCACAAGCAACAAGAAACGGCCCAAAGGGCCCACAAATTGTGGGCCCGAGCAAACAGAGCGAGCCTTCCCCCAACCCTGTCACTGGGACAAACTGCGAGAGGGCCGACGCATCTTATGAGCACCTAGTGTGGGAAATTTTTACCCACCATATCTAATAATCATCTAAGAAATGTATAATTTCTATATCATATCTATATCATATCAAAATCATAACAAAATCATATCCGAATCATTATAGATTCATTATACAGCTTGATCCTAGATGACAATGCCACTTGGATCACGTACGCCATAGGGCCCTATAGATGCCTACGTGACTTTGTGCATGATCTCTCAAGGATCCAGAAGCTTCTAGAAGGATTTCTTAATTAAAAAACTATTGGAACATTAATCGCTTCCGGTAGGGATTATAAATCGAATCCTTAATAAGAATCAGTGGTACTATCAAGTACTACTTATAATCTTTAAATCCTATATCTAATTATATTATAATCACATCTTATCTCAATCATAAGTCTAGACTGTAAAAATAATCAATCAATATTCATTGAAAGCTACCTCTTAAGGGAGAGGGAGGGGCATCTTGGGAACAAGAAGCGCCCACGACCACACCTCGCGGCACTTCGCGTTTGTTTACAACCGAGTGAACAGTGACGGATCCTTAGCGAACATTATTTGGCTCAGGACACCTTATCTAATATCTTTATCACCAGTGAATACTCTCTAGAACTGGGGGAGTACCTGGACAAGTAAAATCCCTAGAACATTTATATCTATAAGCGTAGAGTGGAGCACACAGTGACTCTTGTCTCCACCTTCACCACTATCATTCTTTTGCAACGCAGTTAAAGAAAAATCACATAGCAACGCTACTAGTACATCATACAGCAACGCTGTGATATAAAATATCATGCCTAAACTCGCGACAAGAGAGTTATCAGTCTGGCACACTGTCAGACAGGCACCCGGCAAACAGAGAAGTATATTGAAGGTTATTTAGAGAATTAATTGGCCAATTGTATTCTTGTGTGACTTTAATATCCTATAAATCTGCCTGTCGGTTATAAAGCGAGGCAACGCCTCATACCTCAGTAAGTTATTAATATTGTAGTGTAGCTGTGACTCTTTATCCAAGCACTAGACCTCATGGGTGTCCATTATGTGAGAAAAGATTCAGCTGCAATAAGTAAACAAGACCTCATAAGTGTCCATGGTGTTGGAAGAGATTCAGTCAGGCTGACTGTACATAATCATATAAATTGAATATAAATACATTGCATATATACTTGAATATATAAATTAAGTTAACAATTGCTTGCTTAGTTATTTTTTAAGTTATCATATAAGTTCATTTAATCGAATATAATTTTGTACTTAGTAACAGTACATTTAAAGTCATTTATTATACTTTTACAATTTAATTTGTAGTTTATAGTATAAGAACATATTGGCTGTTAATAGTTATGGTGCTAGGCTAGACTATGTATGTTTAAATCCCTGATTTAAACAGAGCTAGTGTTCAGCATAGAACTGAATTTATTAAATCTTATCCTTGTATAAAATACAAGCTGATGTGAGAATCCCTGTCTACAGGTGGACTGGAACTTCTATCAACTAATTCATTCACCCCACCTGTCCCTTACAGCCCACAATCTGTCATTAAAAAAAGAGGAGCTAGAATTTACAACCCTAGCTAGAGATTTTAGTTGAATTAATTTGCAGACAGTAATTTTTTAATTTAGTTCAGTACAAGTCCCTGGTAGTCTCCTCTCATATCAATCCCAGCAGGTTTTTCCCACATGCGATGCAGCAGTCAGCTCAGGCCCCCTGGAGTCTGCACCCAGATATCGTGAAAGGCAAAAGGGGCCGTTCAGAAGAAATCAGAACAGCCTCCAAACCTGCTTGATGGGGTCTGGGAGTTTTTCTACTCCTCAAGCCTGGCCCAAGGCCAGGTTTGACTTGTGAGAGCTTGGTCCAACAGGCTGTTGCTGGGAGTGGCCCACAGGCCCACATATCCACCACAGCCTGGTTGGTCCAGCACTTCTTGAAGAAAACTATCTAGTTTTCTCTTGAAGGTGTTCACGGTTGTTACGGTAATATTTCTCACTTGCTGGAAGGATGTTGAACAACTGTGGATCTCTGATGTTTATACTGTGTTCTCTGATTGTGCATATGGCACCCCTGCTCTTCACTTGTTCTATTCTGTATTTTCTTCCATATTGTTCACTTCAGTATGTTGTTATTTTACTGTGTAGATTTGGTACCTGGCCCTCCAGTATTTTCCACGTGTATATTATTTGATATCTCTCTTGTCTCCTTTCTAGTGAGTACATTTGGAGAGATTTGAGACGGTCCCAATAATTTAGGGGCTTTATTGCATCTATGTATGCCGTATATGTTCTCTATATTCCCTCTATTTCAGCAATCTCTCCTACTCTGAAGGGGTAAGTGAGCACTGAGCAGTATTCAAATGGGACAGCACAAATGATTTGAAAGTACAACCATTGTGATGGGATCCCTGGATTTGAAAGTTCTCTTAATCCATCCTAGCATTTTTCTGGCTAACGCAATATTTGTTTGATTATGCTCCCTAAATGTTAGATCGTCAGCCATCATTATTCCCAAATACTTGACATGCTGCTTTCCTACTATGGGCTAATCTGATTGTGTTTTGCACCCTGCAGTATGTTTAATGTCCTCAAATCCTGACCAAAGAAAAGGCCAAAAGGACAAATTTCAGGCTCCCGAAACAACTGCTTGAACAACGGCCAAGTCATCTGGCTCCTCCCCAACACCAGTAGATGATTAACCCTTCAACTGCGCATCGAATCATATGATGCTTTGACCGACTTGCAGTAAATTGCGCATCACATCATGTGATGCTTTGGAGTACTACGCAAGATTTAAACGGCCCGCGGATACACGGGGTTCACCACACCTTCATCAGGGCTCTTGTAAACAGACGCCATTTTTTTTTAAAATCGTGGGCCAAACTCCCGGGTGTTAGGGGCCTCAGTATTGAGTGAGCTACCAAGCCTGACGCACGCAGCATGAGCTCACAGCACTGCTGTTCAGCTTGTGACCACAGCATCGCCTAAAAATGCCATAATATACTTGTTCATGCTATTATGTAGCGATGATATTATTACAGAAGACCCCTGACTGTGATAAAACTGACCAGGGTTCTGATAATAGCAGGATTGTGGTGATATTTAGCGCTGTGCGCCATGG